CTCAGGTCTCATGCAACAATTTACCAGCAGCTATGTGCTCCCCATGCAGATGAAAAGAACTTGTGCATATCACGTAGAGCAGAAAAGAAATTTTCTCTTCCTTTGGTCAATAGTGAAACAATTCCAGCTGCTGAAATATTAGGTGCTTGGCTATATTTTTATATTCCTGGAATACTTCTCACATGATGTTAGCTCACTTTTCTCTGTTCTTCCCATACATACCACGCCTCCTTCCCATCAGTTCACCGTATGAAATGATACACTCCTAACTACTATATTTATTCACATCACATTAAGTTTCTTCATCTCTGCATTTTCTTTATTACCTCTGCAATTTTACCATCTTGAATCAAACCAGGACTGCACAGTTAGCTGCACCAAGAGGTATCTCTCCATCATACAGAGCTGCCAACAGGGCCAGAAGTATTAAGATGCCAACATGGTTCATCAGTATGGTTCACTAGCATTGGTGCTGGACTGGGGCATCCCACATACTTGTTTTCTTTTACCCAAATCTACTAAACAGGTGGACAGGCAGCTGCCATGATTATATTCCCACAAGGCCCTGGAGTGAAGCTATATGTCAGGGCATCGTGGAGATGTTAAAATCATGGGTAGCTTGCAACCATAAGTGAAGCACTATGACCGTGTTACTTTTTCTGGCTCCTTCATAGGAGACAGGTCATCCATTTATACACATCCTGTCTGATACTCACATAGTGGTAACTGAAGTCATCTGTGACCTACAACTCCCAGAAATCCTGGCCAGCACAGCTAGTGGAGAAGGCTTCTGGGAGTTTTAGTCCAAGAACATCTGAGGACCCAAGTTTGGGAACCACTGATCCATGGCACTAAGAAGGACTTTTCTATCAAATCCCACAATTTGCATGAGCATAGATAAAGATATGGAGCTCATGGATATCAAACCACTGCTGGGTTCAAACTAAGGCTTTAAGCAGAGGTTGGACATCACCATGAAAAAGCTTTAGCTGTGGATTTTTTGCATCAAGTGGGAAGTCACACGAGATGCCCCATAAGAAGCCTGAGTTCTACGATTTTATGACACTATACCTGGAGAGAGCACTCAGATATTCCCATGGAATGAATGAACTTTATTGCGGTATAAAACCATATTCCCATTAGAGAAAGTAGGAGAACTTCCGCATGGTTTCTCTCAGAGGAAGAAGGCATATAGATGTCTCTGATGCCATGGACTATGAAAGTGGGACGGCAGTACAGAGCTCAACAACCAAACATTGCAGGTACCAAAAGGAAGCCATGTTGCTCAGCCTGATCACAGTCAAAAGAGTAGGTCTCCCTAAAACTGTTAATTGTTGAAGAGCCACATTTTGATAAGACAGGGGTAGCACAGATGAGATGAAGAGATGAAGAAGGAATTATACTTCACAATTTTGCTGATTTCACCTGCTTAGAAGCTAGACATGTGGAAATGTGGAAAATCATCTCTTACCTAATTGGAACTGGGCCTGACCTTTGACCCCTCCAGCATTTAGTTCTCACATTAAAGTTTTGCCCTCAGTGGTGCCGGAATAGATAGCTACACACGAATTGTGTTTATTATTGTTCGTGTACTCATGTATATAAGCACACAGGCATCCCAGAAACACTTAGCATCCAGCTATGAATTGGGTCATATACAGTATGAGTATTCAGTGATAAGGTACCCATGAAAATGGCAGGCCAGCTTCTGCTACTCTTTCAATGTATGGAAGGACACTTCTGCTGACATTCTTGGCTGATCTGAAGGAATTTTCACACAAAACGTCCGATCAACCCCCATTGTTCACAACCCCCTATTGTTCCTCATCCACTTCCTTTACACTTGCAGTAACTGCTATCTATTGGCTTCACCATATTGCCACAATGCATACCACAATGAACTTCATTGATAGTCTGGGGCCCCTTCACTTTCTTTCTTCTAACCCAGTTCTGTCTTCTTTGCTATTTTTGGAGGTTAGACCAACAATCAAACTTCTATGCAGTTCCACCTTAGCAACTGTGGGATACCCCTTCTTATAGCGATAGCAAGTCATTTTTTACACAATGGATAGATACCGGTAAATAAATAATTACATGAATGGGCTAAATTCTGTGATCAGATCCCATCTTTGTTTTGCAGCAGATGAAATCTAGAAAATGGAAGATGATTATTTATTTTACTGGTGAGGAACACCAGTCCAGGCACTTTTTAAAGATTTCAGGCAGGATCCCATCAGAGCCAGCAGCCTTTCCCAGTTTTGAGTTGGTGATCAAAGCTTTAAGTTCCATCATGTATACTGGGTCCCATCATGGTACGTTAGGTGAGATAAGGTGTATGGGATCTAAGTCAGCGGCTTGAGGGTCGAAAAATATGCTGGTAAAATGTTTCTTCCAAACATCTGCAGGGACTTGGGAATCCAGAGAACCTGTCCTGCTATTAAGGGCACCACTAACCAACATCCAGAACTATTTGTTATGGGTTAAACTGGGAAGTATGGATCATTAAATCCCACCTTTCCATTTGCTTTTTTTTTTTTTGCTTCTTTTGAGCTATTACAAGCTTCTACTGCTTTTAAAAATTTGGCATATCCGCTTGTGAGGGACTCTAACTGGTTGATCTGGTAGGATTGATATAGAACCCGTATCTGATTTTCAGGAGGAGGCAATCTCTGTCTACCTGAGAGTTTTGTTTAAGTTGGAATTGTTATAAGCCCCCTGGTAAAATGGCTGCCATAGGGTACTGTTTACTGCTGCCATCAGGTTCTCATAGTAGAGAATGGCCTCTGTCGAGTTTGGTGCCTCAGGCAGATTCTGTTTCAGGTTTGTAAGGTAAATAGAATTCAAGGCAGAGTTTATCTTGTCCTCCATTTTTTGTGACCCTTTCATTCCCTTATAATAGGATGCCTTTCCTACAGTATTAGCTGAGTGAACTGGTGTGTTGGAAACAGGTTGTTCACATTTTACTGTGGTGATGAGGGGGAAATGGTCACTGTCTGTTTGTGCTCCAACATGGAAGTTGACTACCAGGCTGCTCACTAATGGGGAGACTAGTACTGTACGTAATTGATGACACTGTTCCCCCGGTGGGAGCAGAACGTGAATTCTCCAGGGTGGTCCTGAGGAGGGGAGCTATTTAGAATAATAGTTTTTCAGTTCCCATGGATAATCTGGCCAGACGGAGCCCTGCTGTACGACACTGAAAAGCAGGAACTCTTTGCTCAGGCAAACAGAACGTGCTTTTCTTTGTCACATGGCGGCTTCCCACCATATAGGACCCCTGCTGGCTACCTAACCTCAGTTTGCTCACTGCAGGTCTGTAGAGCATTCATGTCGGCTAGACTGAATGTGCTTCCCTCAGCCCTTCTTCAGGGCAGACTTAAGGAAATCCCACACCAAGAAAGACTTTGCCCTTGTGGAAAAGGGTCCCCTGAATTTCTTGTGCATTCACTTTTACACTGTCCATTTTATGAACAAATCAGGAATAACCTAATCCGCCCATTGCTGAAAAAGTTCCAAGGCTTCCAGTTGGTTAATACAATACTGCTTTTTAGACCAAAACCCTTATACTACAGCACATACTGTATAGCAAAGTTTTTTTCTAGCTGCAATGTGTAAGAGGGCAGAGTTTTTCCTGATTACCCAATCTCTCAATATACCTATCTCCCTGTAGTCCCTCTCATTATTTTACTGTATACCTTTTTTCTGTATGGGTCATATGACCACAATAAATTCTTTAATTCTTAATTCTGTTTTACTGGTGTTTTGGAATTGGGCGATATTAATGAGAAATGTAAAAGGAATGGGTTACTTCAAGAAAAAGCATTCTGAAATACTACTTAGAAATAATTTAAAACTAACATTTAAAACCAAATATCATTTTTCTGGTTAAAAAATAAATCTGATAACTTTCAGTTGGAATAGTATCATACCAGATGCCTTCCTGAATATAAACTTTATCATCGCACAGAGAATGGTGGTTAACGGGTTGCTTGAAAGTATAATAATAAATAAAAAAAGACATTTAATACTATGTTTAAGAAGTGACTAGAGACTAAGGGATTACATTCCATTTATTAGAAATTTTCTAAAGTTTTATCTAATTTCTTATGGAGAAAGTTTTGGTTTAGAGAAGTTCTTTAACTGAATACTTTAACTTCTAGATGCCATATGGTAGAGGATAACTTTAAAACAAAACACTCATACCTAAAATGCCTAGTCATTTTTTTTCTGGCAATTTTTTAAAAAATCACTTGTAGGTGAAACAGTATCACATCCATTCTCTATCCTGAATACATCAGTTGCCATGCAACACCAACAGACTTCATTCTAACTGAGAATCTAAGTTGAGTTCAACTATATCTTAGCCTCCTCTTAAACATGTGGAAAAATCCAGAGCATATTTTTCAAAAGGGGACATCACACACACAAAAAATATAAAACTTGCACCCCAAGGTTCAATTGATTATTCAGTCTGTGCCCAAATTATTGGCATGACCTAACTATGGAAGAGTGAAGTCAGGTTTAAGGACAAGAGCTGCAGTCATTAATAAAACATGGCATATGTCAGCGCTAGAAATAGTATCCTGTGCAATTAGAGAAAGGGGAAACAAATCCTGTAAGAATCATATGGCTTCTTTCAACAGAGTCTTTGTGTTAGGTCTAGTTCTAGGCGCATGGAACTGGGCTGGTCAAAGAAGATTTCCATGCTCCATCTCTACCACAGCAACACATCTAACCCTTTGAAAATTGCACACAAAGCTCGGGGTGAGTTGTGTTGCAGGGGCGGGGAGCCTCAAATCTAGCTTTTCCGAATGGAAAGCTTCCACTCATGGAAGGCAGGCAGATCTTTGATCTCACATATGGCAACAGTTCACTGAGAGATAATTTAGAGATAATTCTAGTTTGTGTTTGGCTCTCCGGGTTATCAGTTTATCCTCCTGCCTATCCCTCCTTCTGCTGTCATAGCCTTATGTCAAGGGAATCAGCAAAAGTTGACCTACCATGGCAGACGGCTGTTATCAGAAGCACCAAAAGGGCTGGGCTCATTGCCCCTGGAATGCAGGACTCCATCCGGCAGAGGCCAGGTGGGCTGCAGCGTCAGAACAGGGCCAGCCTCACGGCTCAGGAGCGCTTCCCGAGTAGAAAAGAGATGGGTGAAGCAGAAAACACTGCTAATCCTTCTTCAGTCATGTATCCTCTGTTTCTGTTTTTCACAGTGGAGAAGACACTTCTCCTTTTCTGAAATGACCTCAAGTTAGGAAATTCCTGGTTTAGTTTTAAAAAAAAAGAGCAAGTGAGAAGTGTGTCATAAAAAACACACAAAAAAACACCAACAATAGATGGGGAGGGGAGAAACACCTGCCCATCAAAAAGGCCCCCTCTTTTTATAGTCCAGCACATCTCCACTGCATTGCAGGACTCCTGCCCAAATCATTGATCCCCCTCCCCCCTCCTGTAGTCTCTTGTCTAGCCAAAAAGGTTACTTCAGAAGCCTATAGCACCTTTTGGAGCAGCTTGCTTTGGGGGTGTGTATGCACAAGGGGCTGCAGAAGAAGCACACGAGTCCCAGTTCCATTAAGGGATACCAAAGAATGCCACTGGATCATGGCCCAGAGTTGCACATGTTTTCATGCGTTTCGTTCAGAGCATGGAAGTAACTAGTGGTAACTATAAGCAGTAGTTATTTGGAGCGACTGATCCTCTCATGGCATAACAAAGGCATGGTGAAGTTATGCATATATAAATATACAAAGATTTACAAAAATATTGGGATAAAATGCAAATACGGGGTTCTAAGAACAACAGCATCAAAACATCTCCCCTAAAGCAATTCCAGAATTTCTGGCAAACCATGTTCTAACTACATAAGTTGTAATATTGCAGCAGAAGTATAAGCAGTAGTTATTTGGAGTGACTGATCCTCTCGTGGCATAACAAAGGCATGGTGAAGTTATGCTGCAGAAGTAATTCACTGAGTGTGAACAATGTTACAACAGGGGACCTCAAGTTACAGTCAAAGGGCATTTAGAGACTTTTTAAAGGGATCTCTAAAGTTTTATGCTATTCTTTTCCGTCCTAATGTTTTTTTTTAAAAAAAGACAACAAAAATAATGGGTGACAAAGGAAGTTTGTAATGGTCCTAATGTTTTTTTTAAAAGACAACAAAAATAATGGGTGACAAAGGAAGTTTGTAATGACTAATGACAGAGAATGCCTTGTCACATAGAAGAGCGAGTAATGAAAAAATTGGCTTTTAAAAACTTAGAGCTCCACTTTGGTTCTTCATTTAACTTTAAAATAATTTTAAAAAAACATTTGCAGATGGGGAACTTGTTCAGAAATTCACCAAGGAACAAATAAGTATTTGAAATAGAGAGCTAGAGACTAGAGGACATCAGGAGTACTGATCCTGCCTCTGTCCTCCACGTATCCATGGATCCTGCAAACACAAAGCCAGTATACATCAGAACACAGCTTGGGGGATGACTAGACATGACTACAGAATTTGGAGCAATCCAGCTTGTGTTCGAAAGGCTGTAATATCAGGCACAATCTATTTTATCTAACACTTGAGTGGTCCTTCCATTCACATGGCAATGTGTCTTCTCCTGTAAGAAGGATGCAGATAGCACTTCAGATCACTCTAATTTCTCCCCATTTTGATTACTGATGCCCCCTCCCTCACCTCTTCCCTTGCCTGTTACATTATTCTGTGGGCTGCAGCACTTTCTCTTCTTTATTGTTGTTTCATTCAGGTAATCGGCATAGCGCTACAGCACTATGGCAACCTAGCACCGATACTCCCTTATATCTGCTATAGAACTGTGTCACTTAGGGGAATCTATAGAACTGTGTCACTTTCTCCATCATCTGTTCTCCTGTCCTAACCCACTGCATACATCACTGGGTTGTAAATGAAGAAAATGCCACCCACCACTCCATTTGGGAACAAATTTAGTAACCACACAGACTAGAACAGGTTAAGCGGGCGCATTCCCACTTGCGCCAAATGAACTGCAGCCCTAACGGTGTGCCAGAAAGAAGCAAAACAGCTCGCAAAAGGGGCAGGATGGATTGTTCTTACCTAAAACACATGAGGTTGCTGGAAAATAGGGTGAGCCAAACCACACCAATATAGTGAGCTATATGCTTGCCTGATTGCTCCCTTGGTTTCTGTAAGAGTGGCCTGGAATTCTCAAAGGTTGACATTACCAAGACACATATATGGAACTTTGGACCTGTGTCCCATGCACATGAGATCTTTGTTTGGGCAGGGGATGAAGGCAGCACTAGTGGGCCCAGCTCCGGCCTCCAGAGAATCACATTTAAAAACAAGCAGACTATGGAAACAAGCAATAGCTCTTTCCTCCTTCGTAAGGTAAAGGTGGCATACACCAGTGATCCTCAATCTTGGGCCTCCAGATGTTCTTGGACTACAATTCCCAGAAGCCTTCACCACCACCTCAGCTGGCCAGGATTTCTGAGAGCTAAAGTCCAATAACATCTGGAGGCCCAAGGTTGCAGACCACTGGCACAGCAGTGGCCCTCTGTATGTAATAAAAAGATGCTGGAAAATTATCCATCACTGCTGTACGAGACCTATTAACCTGTTTACCTGAAAATAAGACCTAACCTGTCCATCACTGCTGTACGAGACCTATTACCCTGTTTTCCTGAAAATAAGCCCTAGTATGATTTTTCAGGATGCTTGTAATATAAGCCCTACACCAAAAATAAGCCCCAGTTAAGTGAAACCCCACCCTCCACCCTTGTGCAACAACCAGAAGAAGATGACATGACTGTGTTTGAATAAATGTAATTGCTGTACATGAAAAAAATCCCTAAAAATAAGCCGTAATGTGTTTTTGGAGCAAAAATTAGTATAAGACTCTGTCTTATTTTCAGGGACACACGGTATTTTTTGTTGTTGTTAGACTTCGTATGAAAGAGCTTTTGTTGTTGTTGTTAGACTTCGTATGAAAGAGCACACACAGAGAAAATAATGGAACTAATTTTTATTATGCTGTTACTGCAACTTATGCCAAAAATACTAATACATTTCAAGAGCTCTCTAATCCAAAGGAAATGAAACCTAGCGGTGTCCTCTTTAGAACATATCACTGCTCAGAGAAGTGGAGGAGAACATAACAATCATGCACATGGTTTCTTGCACAATAAGCTAATATCAAACATAGAGACGATTCTGTGTGGAAAGGGTCAAGAGATGCAAAATGGGCCTCACCCCTCAAAACCTCCTTCCCTGATTTCCAAATATATGGCCACATTGCCTTTACACCGAGATTCCTTGGGACAGGGATCTGTTTGTCTTATTTCTGATTTTCCATTAATGGGGATTTAAAGATCCTAGCACTGGCTATTTATTGGAAACTCCTGAAGAGATAGGCTGACATCAGGTATGGAGTTCACATAGTGACCATGTCTGCCTGGAGGAAAGGTGGCTTTCTGTAGATAGGCTGATACAGTGGTACCCCGCCTGATGATGATAATCCGTTCCATAGAAATCACTGTTTAGCGAAATCATCGACATGTGAAAACCGTTTCCCCGTTGGAATGCATTGAAACCTGTTTAATGCATTCCAAAGGGGAAAATACATCGTCGTCCTGCGAAGATTGCCCATAGGGAAGCCATTTTGCGAGCGGCGATCAGCTGTTAAAATGGCTGTCCTGTGAAGCATGGGTCCCAAAAACACAGGGAAGCCATTTTGCGAAGCCGCCAAATAGTCATCTTGTGAAAAAAAAATAGTCATCTTGTGAAAAAATGGTCCGCGAAGCACGGACCAAATCATTGTTCAACGAAAATCCCCCATTGGAATCACTGTTTTGCAAATCGCTATAGCGATCGCAAAACCTCATCATCATGCAGATTCGTTGTTTTACGAGTTCATTGTCTAGCGAGGTACCACTGTATATAGTCCTGGGGAGGAGCCAACAATTGTGATGCTTATTGGCACTGGTGGCATAGGGAGAGGCAGTTGTGTAGTCCTGGAAAAACATTTTGAAGTGGAAAGCTAAATATCAAGATCTCCAGGCAGCTGTTGTTGCTATGGTATCTGTTGCATGTGCAAGATCAATTGGACAAGTAGTCTAAGGCAGTGGTTCTTAACCTTGAGTAACCCAGGTGTTCTTGGACTGCAAGTCCCAGAAGCCCTGACTAGCATAGCTGGTGGTGAAGGCTTCTGGGAATTGCAGTCCAAGAACACCTGGATTACCCAAGGTTAAGAACCACTGGTCTAAGGGGTTTCAGTGTAAGGATGAGATGATGGTGTTGACATAATGTTTTAGATTTCTTAGGCCCTGGGTAGGGAATGTTCTGAGAGAAGCAAAACTGTACAACAGCTCTGTTTGAATAAGAATGGGACCAAACTGCTGGACGTTAACATCAAATAGGTGGCAGAGCAGCTATGAAGCTGACCAACCGGGGAAGGTCCACAAGGGAAGGATAGGGAGCATCCAATTTAAAATGAATCAGCCTGGAGGAATGCAAATGCAAATGTTTCTGATACCCAAATAAAGACAGGGTAGAGATGGGCAATGACTGCACTATAGGTCATGAAAATGGCCCAAAGAGTTATTGAGGAAAAGGCACACTAGAAACATTTGGAGCGAGATGCCACACATGAGTGCTAGAGCCAAAGTGTGAGAGTTTGACTGCTTTGTTTCACAGAAGAACATAGACCAGGAATAATGGAAATTTGCTGGACTGCAGCAAACAAAATATCTCTAGTCACAATTGCTGTGCAGAGGACAGGGAAAAGGCTTCACTGATAACGTATGTGTTGTGTTTGCCTTTGGTCTGATCCACGAGGCTCCTTCTAGAAATCTAAAGCAACGGAACTTTCTCTGAGCTAAAAAATTAATGAAGAACGACTAAACAAACGTAAATTTTTAAAAGCAGTGTGCCAGTTTTGCCATTCAGGAGGTATGGGGAGCATTCCTATCTCCCTTTGTATGAGCTGTGGTCCAAAAAAGGGTAAATTTTCCAAGCTTTACCATCATGAAATGGCAGCAAATTAATGGATCACCTAAAAGGGAGTTGTTCTCTGTACAGTATTATGCAAATCCATTGCTGACATTTTCAGAAGCAGGTTGGCTATCTGGCTCACTGTAGTGTCCCACTTCTGAAACAAGAACTCAGAAATACTTTGTTTGGTCAACCCTGACTAGTGCACTATGCCAGGGGACAACAAGAGTTTGTGCCATGTAG